AAAAGTATTAGGGCAAGTGACAGTGAAATCTTCAAGATATTATTCATATTTCATTTTTAATAATTAATCTGTCCTTAGTTGTACTTGTTCCAAAATAATCAGATTATGTTAGGGGTTAATAAAACATTAGTGAGAAAGATGGGCAGAGAGTACTTTCCCAGCTGCCTGCCTTTTACTTTCATCAGTTTCCCTAAAAATGTCCAAAATCTCACAACTTCTTAATACCACCACTACCATATCTATTTGGTTAGGCCAGTGGTTCTTAACCTTTGTTAACCTAATAATGTCCAAAATCTCACAACTTCTTAGTACCATCACTACCATATCTATTTGGTTAGGCTACCAGAAATGTATTTTATCTTTGTTTTAAAAAAGCAAAAGCAAAAAAAAAGCTCTAAATCATCTGATTTCCCCATTGGGTATCAAGCAGCGCAGTGCAATGGCATGCAACTAGGTTAAAAAGAGAGATATAAATCTTAGCCAGGTTCATCTTTGTTCAGTGAAGGAGAACTGTTGAAAATTCCCACTTTGCCACTTTGTTTCTGTCTTTTTCTTTTTGGTAATAATCCCAGAGAGAATTTGCATATTTTTGCAAATTTTGTAAAATATAAAATTTGCTGCCTTGAATTTTTAAAAGTGTATGTATTTGTTGGGTTGTTTACATCTTCATTAAATCAGCCAGTTTTTTGTGCTTTCTGTGTGTGTCATGTATGCACGTGCCTAGTTATACAAAAGGAAAAAGACTTGCGACATTTTGCACAAATTGCATTAACTACTTTAGAAAAATTTGGTCACATATTTAGTTAAATCACTGAGAGACTTCCCTTTAGAGGTTTTCCTACCAACACATGGAGAAAGAATGGGGCAGCATGTGCAAATCCAGCTCCTAATACCCCTGTACTTTGCCCATCTCCATCCTCCCCTGTACATAAGTCTGAAGGGGTATTTTCCCCACATTAGGCTGAATACAATTTGATTCTTTCACATAATCAAGAACAGTAATTCTGCAGCATTCCTAAACATGTGAAAGATGCTTTCAGCAGTCATGAAAAGAGCCCCCTTCAAATTTCAAGCCACAGTGTCCTAATGTCAGTGCTCAAGCTCAAAGGGAGAGGGATTGGCGTGTATGGCCTTGCTTATCCTCCGTGCATGATATGCCCAGGAATGCAACCAAGCACCTCATAGATCAGTTGCAATTTGTCTTCAAGACTTAGAATATTTCTCATATGTAAGAGTAAATTTGCAGTAGGATTCTGTCCATTGTGTTTTTTAAGGAATAAAACTTGACAGAGCATATAAATTTAAAATGAAGCACAAAAATATTTCTAAAATAAATTAAATCCCATTTAGCTTAGAACCCAAATGTTGGTCAACTTCTCCCAGATTACTTTGTTTGCCCACTGAAACAGCCAAATGAAGCCTCCCTTGGATCTTGCACTGTCTGAAGAGTAATGGATGGTGGTCAGGGAAGAACTCTCACTTTCAGATTGATGAGGGTCACTTGAAGCCTTTGTCCCTATCTGTTAGGAGTAAGTAGAAAATATTCAGTTTTTTAGGTTCTTAAGATCTACTGTTTTTACCATTTTCAACTTAGATCTGTTTTGATTTTTATCTTCTGCTTGCAAAGACTATTGCCATTTCATTTGTTCTTTTAACTTGAATGTCATATTTCATTATTTTCTATTTTTAAAAATAGAAACTTTTACTATATCACATGAGGTCATTAGCCAAACTTCATTTATTTTGGTGTAAGAGATATGATTCCTTTGGTAGATGATCTACTGCATGTGGTCTGGTGTTGATGGGGACAGTAAGTAAGCAGATGGGAGTGTAGGGTCAGACTCAAAACACATTCCAGTTTCCTGTTACCTGCAGTGTTTTTGAGCTGCCACTATCTTTTCCCCCTTGAGTCCTGCCTTTTTACAAAGGAGGTGTCACTGCTGCAAGAAAATGTCTCCTCTCTCCCATTGTTTGGGTCAAGGAGTAGCTGCAGGTCTTCAAAGAGACTGTAAAAGTAGCATATTGTGAAAAGTTGATTAAAAGAATCATGTTTCTAGAAAAAAGCTTTTGCCTAGTAACAGGATGAATATTTCAAATGGCTTTAGAGTTGAGCAGATTTCAAGATATATGTTATGTACTGTCAAAACTATTTCCACCATTTGTGATGGGACTCAGACGCAGGAATTGAACATAAACCTATATCAGCAAAGAGTGTGTTTAAGAAGCAGATGTTTGGCTCTTGGGGGAATGGAGCTGAATAGATGAATGCTAATTAGATAGTGGGAATACAACCAATATAGGCAATTTTAGAAAAGACAGTAGTATGTTATAGACCTGACTCCAATTGGTCATCCCAACTAGAGTAGAATTAATGAGGTTTATCTAAATGTTGACTCAACAACTGATTAAAAGGGTCTTCTCTAGTTAGAACACTCAATCAGATGTAAGCTTGTGGCGCAGTGGTTAAAACGCTGTACTGCAGCTAAAACTGTGCTCACGACCTGGGGTTCAAATCCCAGGTAGCCGGCTCAAGGTTGACTCAGCCTTCCATCCTTCCGAGGTCGGTAAAATGAGTACCCAGCTTGCTGGGGGGGCAATGTGTAGCCTCTATAATTAAAAATTGTAAACCGCCCAGAGAGTGCTTGTAGGGGTCTTCTCTAGTTAGAACACTCAGTCAGATGTAAGCTATAAACCTACTTGTACACAGTTCCAGGTTCATAGTCAATAAGCTTAAGTTGAAATGGCATGGAAAAACATATGCCCCATAGGTGGGAGGGTTGTTTCTAGTTGGAGAAGACACTACTAGGCTAGATAGACTCAGGGTGTTACGATTTGCAAACTAGTGTAATGTCCTTCTAGCTGTTTTCATGCTTTATGCTATGAACTAGAGATTGGGATGACTCACCATTTTGGTGAGTCGTCTTGTTTCATGAATCATCAAAAGTTGACGACTCATGAAACACGAAGTTGCCCCCAGGAACTGACAAATAATGAATTTATTTGTCGAGATTTTGGCGAGTCGTCTTGCTTCATGAATCATCAAAAGTTGACGACTCACGAAACACGAAGTTGCCCCCAGGAACCGACAAATAATGAATTTATTTGTCGATTCATGGGGGTTACTAAAACAACAACACACAATTCTGCTAATCTTTATTGCAATATACAGTTCAACATACGTACATGTGTGTGTGTTTATTTTTGTAATTATTGTAATAGTTTATTTTTTAACAAATACCTATATATCTGTATGTTGTACTGTATATTGCAGTAATGATTAGTAGAACTTCTAGGAAAAGGAAAAAAAGGTTCCAAAAATCATGGCCAGATGTGTGGGCCATGAGGCTCCAGACTCAGAGGTATAGGTTTTCAGATTTCTACTACACACTCTACTAGTGTGGATTAGCATCACTCAAAAAGACAGTAGTAACATCAGGTGGAATACAATTGACTGTCGCAATTTGAATAGGCACATTGAATTATATCACTGTAGACATTCCAACCCACACTTCCAGAAATGTAATCTGAAACCTACACCACTAACCTACTTCTCCATCCCCCAAGTTGAAATTTGCTTTATGTACCAAAATGTGGGCTGTTCATCCAGGCATGATTTTTAGAACCTCTGTGTTTCTTCTGCATCATCTTCTGTTACTCTGTAGTAACCAGCCTAGTGAAGATCTGTGCAGCTTTGAAAGCTAGTTTACGACTATAATGTTTTAGTGGTCCAATAAAAAAAAAATCACTCACTCTCAACTTTGGTTAATTTATGCCACTTAATGTTATGTTTCAAGAACCTTGTCATGGGGTGTATACAGTGAGCCTTTTGGGATGCAGTAATCTGGCCAAGAAGAGCTTCATGGTACAATGACATTGACATAATGTCAAACAATTCATCCAATAAACCATCTGTTCATTACAACCAGGTTTGCAGTGAAATTCCAGGCATATCTACCTGTAAAGTAAGGGCCAGCGAGTTCTCTGGTGTTTACCCTCAGATATGGTTTGTAGACTTAAAGTCCTTCTGCAGTTTTGTGTGAGCAGAGGTGGAGAAATCTGCAGCATTTACCACCTGTCTGCAGCTCTTGGTTTTTGAATAGAAATAAACATTGACTCTTTAGAAATAACATTGTCACAATGACGAGGAAGGCAATTCTACTGGAATCCATACGGAAACTAGTCCTCACATTGCTACATTATATGTCTCAGTAAGTGATTCATCAAGGATAGACATATGAGATGAGAAGGCACAATAGGCAACTGTGCTCCTATGCTTGATTCTCTTCACTTATTTGTCTGTTTTGCTGAAGCAGCAGTAATTAATAATTTGGAGAAAGAGCAGTATTTTGCAGAATACCTGTTATGCTTCAAATGTGCACAACTGAACAAATACAGGCTTTGAAATCTATTGTGGGTACAATGTCAATATCAAAGGCCACCTTAATATCACTTGGCTTTAGATTTTTCATGGAATTCAAGAAATTTTATTTGCTTATCGAAGTGCAATGCTCCTTTCCTGCCACCCCTCGCCCTCCCCCGACCCTTGCAGCACCACATCCTATTTTATCCTCATTGTCACTTGAGAGTGCTGGTGTTTGATGACATGACAGGTCTTTTACTTCGTTTCCATACTGCTTTCACAAAGGCCAAGCACACTTTTTCTCTCAGTAAATGCAGCACCTTTGCCTGTGCTTCTTGTTTGATAATTGCATCCACTGGCCTTATTAGTTTGCTGCCAGATTAAGTCTTTTCAGAACTAGCTTTCCAGCCTTTTGAATGAGACTGGCAGCAGGTGATGCTCTAACCGAGCCACACCTCCCCGCTAGGACAAAATGCAGGCACTTCAGGTACTTTCTTGACCATTTGCCCTTATGATGTAATTCTGATTTGCAGAGCAGATGCTAAGAACTTAACATTAATTTAAAATGCAGTGATACAGTTTGAAATTGTTTTTTTGTAAGAGTGTCAATTGATAAACGTCCTTTTCTTGTGGCTTCTAGAGATCCCACTTGTTTTGTACCTGTTTGCCCTCATTTCCATCACATGGCTATGGGGAGGACTTCACATGGCATACAGACATCTGTGGATGTTGGTCTTCTTCGTCATTTTCAATTGCCTACAAGTAAGTACTTCTTCCATTCAAGTTTTAACCACATGCCATAGTGCTTTTTGACTACACTATGCAGTGACCAGAATCCCTATTGAGTATTTATGTGCATACAAGAGCAATCCCAGTAGTTGCTAAAGCTAAATGATGCTGTGCCTGTCACACATTAGCTACATACCTAATTCTGCTGTTGAATGTGCGCCTGGCATTCATCTACTGGCTCATTGGCAATTAGCCATGGCAATCTTTGCAATTCCTTTTGCAAGCATGTAAACATTGAATACGGTTTTGGCCAGTGTGTTATATATGTTTGTGGAGTTTTTAGAAGTAAAACAATGGCTAGAATCATATTGATCTTCATGTAAGGTTTGCATAACTTGCTGCAGTTAATTGTAGCTAAATGATGAAGAGCACATGCACATCTCAGTTACACAGGTGAACATGATCAAGACATGGACCAACACCTCATGAATTGGCCACAATTAGCTATAGAAATTACATAAATCTTATGCAAACACCAGGAGGATTCTGGCCCATATTGTTGATAGCACTCTGTTGTGAAAAGGAAGTTTAAGAATTACATTAAATCAGACACAAAGAAGACACTATTTATAATGCTGGGCTGTGTAGAATATGTCCTTAAAATGTTTCTATTTTATGAAAATGTTATTTCCATATTCAAGAAAGGGTACATTGATGCCTCATGTGTCACAAAATAATTTCAGTTGTCTACAAGTAAGTACTTAACCTCTCAAATTTATAACAGTAACATAGTCAGGAAATACATTGTCATCTCTTTTGAATGCTAGAATGATCCAGCTCATTCTATGTTGAGCAGGCACACTATAAAGAAAGTTAACTTGACAGATTCTATAGGTCTATGAAGAAAACCTCTCCACATTTTGAGACTGATCCACAAGCTCTGAAGTTGTTCTGTTGTTGCTATGTGCTGTCTAATTGGAACCAACTTATAGTGACTCTAATTCAGTGTTCAAGGTTAGTATTTAAAGAGTGGTTTTACCATTTCCACTACCCCAGTGAATTTCCATGGCTGAGCAGGGAAACGGTCTCAAGATTCCTTCCCTTTCACTCTATCCCTAGACCACACTGGGCATCCTTTGAAGTTGCTAGGGGTCAATTAATTTGTTACAGGAAATGTGTATATCTTGCTGTTACATTGTTCTTTCAAAATGCAGTTATGTTTACCTACAAATGACCAGCCACAAAACAAATGTAAACTAATTTGAAAGATGTGGGCTGGAAGGCTTATAATAGGGCAGTGGTCAGGGAACAGGAGTAAATTACCCCAAATGGGATGAAAATGAAAATCCGGGGGTAATGAGGATACGACCCTAACCCCCTTCCCTCCTCCTCCTCCTCTTCTGCCTGGAGGGGGGGTCCCCGGCTGTCTGATCACCCCCTTCCTGGCCCCTTCTCTGGCTTGGCTGCAACTGAGCCATGGCAGATGGCGGCCTGGCTCGGCTGCAACTGAGCCATGGCGGATGGCGGCCAGTGACGGGCCCCGGTAGGCAGCATATGGCAGCCAAGGTGGCAGGGGCGGGGCCAGCCATGGTGGAGCCTCTTCTTCCAGTGCCTGGAGAGGTGGATCACTGTGGAGGGGGGCGGGCATGGCTATGACAGTGGCCTGGGCCAGGCTCAGCCTTCCGGTGCCAGGATGCCGCCCCACGCCCCATCCCGGTCCGATCCCATTGGGGCCTGGCGGATCCTCTCACCCTCTGTGCAGTAGTTGTCGCAGTGCTTTGACGGTGAGGCCCGCGGGAGCCCTGACTCTGAGGTCCGATGTGACTCCCTGACTCTGAAGTCCGATGCGACTGCCCTGGTGAGCAGCCAGTGCCGGAGTGGGAGATGGCGTCAGGCGCCCCTGGCGGGTGAGCCACCTGCTGCTCTTTGATGGCCACCCAGGAGCCACCCGCCAGCAGAGAAAGGGAGCTGCAGCCCCACAAGTTGGTGGTGGCAGCTTTGGAGGCGGCCTGGGTGTGGGTGGTAGTGCTCAACTTGAAGTCCGATGCGACTGCCCTGGTGAGCAGCCAGTGCCGGAGTGGGAGATGGCGTCAGGCGCCCCTGGCGGGTGAGCCACCTGCTGCTCTTTGATGGCCACCCAGGAGCCACCCGCCAGCAGAGAAAGGGAGCTGCAGCCCCACAAGTTGGTGGTGGCAGCTTTGGAGGCGGCCTGGGTGTGGGTGGTAGTGCTCAACTGGCCACATGTGACCAAGATCCTTCCTTTCAAATCAAGGGAGTAATGTCGACATATATAAATTTTTTCGGGGGTAAAAGGTAAAAAAGTTCCTTGACCCCTGTAATAGGGCAACCAGACAACATCTATCACCTCTGAGACCCCTATTTCTGATATGTTAACTGTATTAGCATGGACCTTACACTTCTCTTCTGGCACCACTGCAAAAAAACAAACAAACAAACAAAATTTTTCCACCACTGCAAAAAACAAAAAACAAACCTTGGACGCCTTTGCTTTCATTTTAGATTAACTGCAGTTTGGCTAATTGTCCAAACCTGGCATACTGTGGTCAGTCTTAACTAAGGCATGTTAAAACAAAGTAGCTTTAAACCATCATTCATAAAGCTGATTTGTTTTGGCTAATTATAGTGAAGATTAGCCATAGTCTAGGGTCCTGATACAATATAAGTCTTTTAAACCTAAAATAAAAGTTCCTGACTTCCTTCTTGGAAGTATGAGCACCATTTCATGCTACCCACACCTTGCTGTCAGCTTCCTACCTGCATCTGAAATTTCCAGCCTTGTGTTCTATTCTAGATAACATATTTTGTTTTTCTCAGGTTTACTGTGATTCCCCACTCACCCCAGCCCCATAATCCCCTTCTTTTCCTATTTGCACCCATTGAATGAGCTCCAGCAGCTGAGCAGGCTCCTCTTATTGAATATTCTGCTGCTGAGATCCCTGGTATTCTTCTATGTTTAGACCCACAGAATGATCTGATGCATTTAGCAGTGACACTGATACAAAGACAAACTGATCATTGGAATTTAATATAATCATAAAATGTGAAAAAAAAGGTTGGAGTGTTTTGGTTTGGAATACTGCATTTTTCCATATATAAGATGACCCTCCCTTTTCTAACCCCAAATTAGAAAAAGCAGGGAACAAAGGACCCCCGTTTTGCTAAACCCCTTGCCTTGGCAAAAGGCAAGGAAAGCGTCTGTCAAAGTGACTGCTGCTTTTCCTTGCCTTTTGAGAAGACACAGAGCTTAGCAAAAAGGAAAGGAGCAACGCCTCCCCTTCCTTTTTGCTAAAGTCCTGCACGCGCCCCTCTCCTTTTTAAAAGGCACAGAGCTTAGCAGAAAGGAAGAGAGCAATGCCTCCCCTTCCTTTTTGCTAAGCCCCTTGCCTTCGTAAAAGGCAGTGGTAAAGAGCTGCCTCCCATGTATTAAACAACCCTCAATTTTTTCTCAAATTATTTAAGGAAAAGGTGTTGTTTTATACATGGAAAAATATGGTATGTTCAGAGGTGTACACAAGGATGCAGGGCATGGAAAGAATATATTTTCTTCTAGTGTCATAAAGTGTGGCTCTCTCAGGATCATCCACTGAATTTGATCAGCAGTGATTTCCTAACATGGGATGTAAGTCTTCATTTCTCTTATTCCTATGAACACAAATAAGAAACTATAATTACAGTGGTGCCTCGCTTAGCGACGTTAATCTGTGAAGAAAAAATGTCACTAAGCGATTTCATCGCTAAGCGATTTTAAAAAGCCCATAGAAACGCATTAAAACGCGTTTAGTGCATTCCTATGGGCTTAAAAACTCACCTTATGCAAAAATCCTCCATGGGGCGGCCATTTTCGGTGTCTCTAAAGTGAGGCAACACAGCAGGCGGCCATTTTGGAACCGCCGATCAGCTGTGCGAAAATGGAGCCTTTGGGATGATCGTGGGGGAGCGCTTCCCCGTGATCATCCCAGAGCCCCTGCCGATCAGCTGTGCTTCGGCTCTCGCTCTCTCTCCACCCCTTGCAGCTCCAGCCTTGGCAGGGAGACTGAGGCACTGCCACGCCACCCTGGCCGAGAAAGCTGAGAGGGGAGAGAGAGAGAGAGCCGAAGCACATCTGATCGGCAGGGGATTGCAATGATGGCTTCCCTGCGATCAGCACAAACACCTGCCGATCAGCTGTGCTTCAGCTCGCTCTCTCCCTACCTCTCAC